ATTACAGAGCAAACATTAAATAATACCATGGGGAATTTCAGAAATAACATGGAACTTTGAGAGGAGCTCATCAGGTAGGAAGTTAAAGGCATATGTTATAATAATGTATGTGTAAACAAGAATGACTTTATGCTGTAATCATTACATGGACATCCATGTAAAGGTCTCCCCAAAAGAAAAGGCAAAGACATTATATAACTATACATATTACCTTCCATCTTTCTTTCTGTCTCTTTTACATACACATATGCATACATACATATGCTATACATACCTATTAGCCTGTGTATGTGGGCATACCCACAGTTAAGAGAAGGTAACTGATACCATAGACAGAGACCAGAGAGTTAATCTATGAGTAATAAATGATTCTGAAGGAAAAATAACAAATGAAATAGAAGCAAAAATTCCAGAATTGAAGAAAGATCTATTTTTGCATTAAAAAAATCAAGTCTATTGATTATGTCAACAATATTAACAAGAGACAAACACTAGGATATATCGAGGAGAAATTTTTCAAGCATCCTTCCTGGAAGAATAAGGAGGAAGGTTTCTGATAAAGGAAAATAGAAAGAAAAAGAATAGGCTATACTACAACTTTTCACTCATTTTTTACCTCCAGTTGACCCGTCTCTACTGAGATTTGTGATAAAAAGTACATGAATCCACAATCTCACATCTAGGCAAATTTTAATCAATGTGCCATGGAAAATAAAGATACACAGAGCTCAGTAAGGAAAACTTCCTTATCTAAAACAAAAGTTGACTCTAAGATTAGTCCAGCTGAACAAGATATTAATACATATCAATAATAGAGAAATGGTGATATAAAATGACTACTATTAAATATTGAACTGTTTTGTGATATCAGGATATCACAATATTTTAGAGTTTAAATAATTCATATTTATTGTCAGATAATCCCTACTGTTTGTTTATGTTCCTTTTCATTTGTTTTGTAATTTTGGTACATAAAAGACCATTCTTTTGAAAGTGCTTTACAAAATTAAAATTATATTCTCTCAGTATAAATAGTAAACTTACCTATTATTGTGACAAGAAAAGGGATTTATCTTTTTTACTCTCTCTCAATCCTTCTGTAACCACATGCTTTGTACATTATAGTTTTTAGATGAAACATGTTATTGCTGTGTTTCTATAATTATCCTGATATCACAAAACAGTTCCTGCTTTGTTTTGCTTTCTCAGCTACGCACCTGCTTCCCCTTGCTCTCATCTTTCTGGCAGCACACTATTCAGTGTTCCCTTCCACTTAAATGCAGCCATAGCTGCTGTTGTCTACATCTTGAACCTCCTTTATTTCCTCTTTCTCTAGTGTACTCATGTGTCAGAACTCAGTTAAAGTGTTCATATCTCAGGGAAGTCTTCACTGAGAAGGTAATATCCTACTTGTATGGGCTTTCATGGTAGCATATACTTTTTATTCATAACAAATATCAGGTTGGAATTTGTTTGTGGCTACTGGGCTGATCTTTGTACAACCAGACAGTACATTTCTTGAAGGAAGGAACTTTATGTGATTTTGATCAGAGTTCTATCTCCATTACCGTGTGGCACATGGTAGATGCTTAACAATTATTTGATTGAAGAATAAATGAATGACTTTTCATTTAAACTAGGAATCAACTACCAGTTCATGCTATAATCTGCTAAACTACCTGACAACTGGTAAAATTTGTTCCAATTGAAATAGGATTTCAAGTACAATATAAACCTTTTCAAATTTCATACAAGGTACAGGTTTCACTAAAAACACATATCAATTTTAAAAGGTCCTCCAAATGAATCTTTATATAGTACAAAGCTTTGGGCCATGGATGGGTTATGATAGTGATAAACAGAAATTAAGAATATTTCTGTCAGGAGCAGGCTAATTTTCAAAGAAAGTCTTTTCTATGTCAAAACTCCAATCTTTAAAACCATCCCTACAAAATGAATAGATGGATAGAAAATAACAATCAGTTATGTAGCTGCCGACCAGAATAATTTATCACCAGTAAATAGATATTAGTTCACTTAGAGCACTTTTGACAATTAAGATTCCCTGTGAGATATTCTGGTCATCTTTCCTGAAGGGAAAAAAATAAAAAAAATTAAGAGGAAAATATCTCTTCCTGACAGAATATGGCCATAGGATAAGAATGTGTTCTGAGGCAGCATGCTTGAAATGAACGTGCTGGCTGCACCAGTCCATTTCTTTTGCCCCTTCCCACCTTATTTTTGGACAAAGAAGTTGATGAAGATGCAGGAAGAGACTGGACCCATCTGGCCACAAGCCAAGGAACACCAAGGAATGCTGGTAGCTTACAGAATAGAAAGGCACACAGTGGATTCTCCCCTAGAGTGTCTGGGTAACACTTTCGTTTTGGACTTTCGGACTCCAGAACTGTGAGAGAATAAAATTTTGTTGTTTCGAGCTGCCAAGTTTTTGGTAATTTGTTACAGCAATCCTAGGAAACTAATATATCCGCTCATGGGATAGAGGGAGGAGTTGGATATTGGCTAAACAACAATCTAATGCACTTTAGCATCTCTTCAAAAATAACCAGAAAATCAAAATGGAAACACCATGCATTGATACCACCAAAATCAATAAATGAATGAACACATAAGTAAGCAAATGAATACATAAAGAACAAAAATGAAGTATTCAGATGAAAGAATAATTATCCAAGAAAGCAAATAAAAAATGTCAAAATTTTTCTTAACACTTCCCAAGGAACCGAAGTAAAAAGAGCTAAAAGTCATACAATATCAGAGAATAGATAACAGGAAAAATGAAAGCAATCTCTTTGGTTTTAGGGAAAAATGTAGACTAAAATAAAAAGCAGAAATGAGTGACCCATTAGAACAGGCATATGGAAGATAGTGGAGAAAAACACAGAAAATGAACATTTTAAATATCAAAGATAAATATATATAAAAGGAAGAGTGAGATAGGAAATTTATTGTATATAGAACTAGTATTTCTGAAGAAGACACTTACAAATGCAATAGAAAAAAATTCTAAGAAAACTACACTGAAATGAAAGACATAATTCTATAAATCAAAAGTACATTATGTATTTTAGGAACTACTTATATAATAATGTCATTTTTATACTGGAAAATACTTCAGACCAATGTGATGTTTGATTTTTTTGTGATTTTCATGATAAATGTGAAGAAATCTTCAAATATGTCAAGATGCCTGTTAGCAGCTCTCATTGGTAAATGATTTTGCTATTTTTGTTAAATCAAGAAATAGATGTATAAGATTCTTTTCAACTTCATGATTCTATAAATCTTAGTCTCAGCCATCATTCTTGTAGGGCTTGCATGAAAATTTCAGAAGGCAACTGTAATTGGCACTCATGTACACGTACATTAAATGTACTCATAAAATGCACTGAACTTCTCTGTAATAACTGTAACCTCTATTATAACATTACCTTTCTGCATGTTATACATACATAAAACAACATGTAACTACATATAAATTAGTCTTGTTAAATACCTTGAGCAATGATTTAACCAATACAACTTCTCAAATACATGCTATGCAATTTGTAAAAATGCTCCAACTGGGTACTAATCCTGTCATTTATTTACATATAATATTTTTGGCAAATTGGAAAATATCATACTGAATAACTGCACATTTATCTGTCTTCTTTTTTTGAATGATGGCAGGCAAAAAATGAAATGCTCTATGTTTTATCAAAGAGAAATGAAGTGTATGTATAATTTATTATTATTTTGGGAGTTAAATGGAAGTTAATAGGAAAAAGGTTTAATAGGCAAATATTAATCCTCTACTACCTTTTCAGGAATGTGTAAAAGGGCAACATGAGGATAGCTACAGAAAATTTATCTATTTGACCGGGATGGTTGGCACTAACAGTTTTCCAAAGATAAGAGGTGATATAAAAGTGTCCCAGGGATGCACCATCTGTCCTTTCTAGCAAATGGCACAGGAAACTGGGACTGTTTCTTAATTTTTTTCCCCCGTAAAGTTTGGCGGAGGACCTTGCACATCGGACTGTAGTAAGTTTTGAATGGTTAAAGAAATTAATATGTGGTCAGATACTAATTCCTGCAGGTAAAGCAGGTAGTAGATATATGTAAAGTCAGGATAAATCCAAAGACCATTTATGGTTTTGACAGGTAACAAACCTAATACATTTTTCTGAGAGGAAGATGAAGACTAGAGGCTCATGACTTAATCTTGCCTCTTAATCCACTTCTTGTTTCTTTGGTGATAATATATAGGTTAAGATTGCTTGTCCTTCTAGAACCTCTGATAGCATGAAATTGCTAGTTTGTGGGAAAGAACTAGTTCAATCTTGTGCCTAAGAGAAATCTGAATCCTTAGGAAGTTCTAATGTGTCAATGAAATTCTTGATTCAGGTGATCCCTACCTTCTAATACTACATTCCTTAGAAATGAAAAGTGAATATGTACCAGTCTGCCTTCCCACTCCTGCATGATACACACATATTTAACCTCAGTGAAATTCTACCTCAAAGTCCCAAAGCGGATTGTTTAAAAATGCTGTAGAATGAATTCCAACTTTATTTTCACCATCAAGATTGTCTCTTCATTCTAATGTAAATTTCTTTTGTTGCTCTTTGATAGTGGTAGGGAATTGGACCAAAAACTTCTTAACTGTATGTCAACTTCATGGTTCACTTTGTCTATATAGTATAACTTCTAAAGCAGGTATTTTTATTTCTCAAAATAAACCAGATTCTCTCAGTGATTTCTGGGATTAAATTGTGGAGTCTGCGGGGAGCTCTAAATATGTGAGGGTTTGTATATATACCTGCTTATTCTTCAACTATGGAAAATTATTTTCATGCCTTGTCAACTCAGTCAACCTACAATTAGTTTAAAATGCACATATACATACCAAATATTATAACATTGTTATTTTTATAAGTACTACATGTTAGAAAAGTCCCCAGTTTAACCAAATTATTTTATATTATTTATTACAGGACAGCATGATAAAAACTCATAGCAATTGCCTGAATAACGAATCTAGCTTTTTTAAAAGACATGCATGTGATGATAATAAGGTAATGATAATTATTATTTGGAATTTATATATAAAGCTTGATTTCATAGAAGCTTGTTTTTTGTATCTCTCTTAGATAATTATGTTGATGATGTTAGTAACATTCTTTGGTTCTAACCAATTTCCAATGATCCTGACTTTTATTATGGTCTACTCTTATTTTATAAATAGCCCTATGCTTATTTAATATTCTTTTCTTTTTTAGCATTAAATTTTTCACTTTGAAAATACTAGAAGAATTGAATTCAAAGACGCATATCTCTTACTTCTGAAATTTTTATGCAGGAAAATGTCGGAGTGATTGGTTGTATGCACACAATTATAAGTCATGGTCATAATTTATTTGTAGGCATTCTGACATTTTTTCTTAATCGGATTTTCTTCAAACAACAACTACCTCTGGTTGGTGTAATATTACAATTTACAAAACTTGTAACAAAAGTTTGTGTCATTTCTTTCTACAGAAACTAGTGAACTATTCAGTCGTCCTTTAAAACTCACAATAGCTGAGTTAAATTTACCATATCTCATAATATATCCATAAATTATTTTTACGCTAATTTCTTACTTTAAATATCTGAAAAACTTGTGTTAGGTGAATTTGGCCCTTTATTTATTGCCAGCTATTTATCCGTAGCTCAAAAGGTGCAAAAATAGTAACAGTAAGAAAACCACACATACCTTATTGCTGCTTCCAGCACCCCTCTCCTTTGGTTACCTAATTTTTAAATTGAATAATCTTATGACATGGTTACCCATAAGCATTAAGACCACACACACACACACATATATATATGTACACAGAGAAAAGAGACTTTAAACATTCAGATAATCATTAAACCAAGTTCTAGGCACTTCAGGCTGTTACGTAAGAGCTAAACAGTTTCAGTCTAGTTACTGGTCAGTCATGTGATTAACTGGAATACAATCTGGGTTGGAGGTGTGGCATTATTGGGTAATACAGTCTGGCTTTAGGCTCCTTAAGAAAGCTTATCATTTCTTAATATTTTATTTGAACCACAGCCCTTCTGATTTTTTTCTGTAATAGGAAGCTACATTTTTATATCATGCTGCTCGCAAGTTGAAGCAATTTAAAATGAATGCCAGTGAGGATTTCGATATCCACTTATCACGAGTTTCACAGGGCACATTAAAACTGTTGAACTGCTCTAACAAGGTAAGTTGTTTACTTTGAACAGAAATATAAACACTCCCACGTTAGGATGCTATCATTTGCTGATGATCATATCCAGTATCACAGAATTCCAAGTGCTTATTATAACTTAAAGTGAAATACATTTACTCAACTTAGAAAGTATCTATTTCTCTCTTGGCTAGGGAAGTAAATAGTGTATGGAAGGGGAGGAAAAATAAATGAATGCATATGTAATGCTACAGTAATTTGAAGGAGGTTAATGTAATAAGTTGGGTGGCAAGTGGCAAATTTTTATCTATATACTTACTAATAATTTTAATCCATATATGTACACATTTATAAGAACTCAGCCAATAAAACAGGCAATCAAATATTTAACAAATATTGTTATATTTTAGAACTGGGCATATATATGTTCCACAATTTTCTATTTGTTTGCTTCAGTCATTTTGGTAAGTGTAGAGCTTTGTTTTTCCTACTTCTCTGCTAGCAGTTATGAAATATAAACAACAAAACAAGATTTGGAAGACATTACCTTGAGACTAGACAACAGTTTCTTTATCTGAAAAATGGAAAAAAATATAATCTCTACATTACAGAATGTTGAGAGGGTTAAATGCCATAATTCATGTAAAGTACTAAAAAGTTTTTGATAAATGTTATATTATTATTATTATTACTATTTATCCCTCCTTCAGGAATTTTACCAGCTGGTATACAAAGGCAGTAGTTTTCTTATGATGTTTTTAAAAGATAATATTAATACTTTTATGATAGAAAAAGTGTTGGGTTTTTATTTCTTAATACAGTAGTTGTCCATAGGAGGTAAAATGATAAGATTATCTTTGAGCCCTATTCACAGTGATGAAAATAAAGATGATGTAAGTCAGATCACTTCATTTATCATTACACTATCTGTTGATACAATCCAGTCTCTTTTGGTGTGCGGAGTTTACGGACCTTACTTCCAATTTTGTCCCTTTACTTATATTAGTCCTTTATATGGAATTCCTACTGTTCTCTTTTCTATAATCTGATCTATCCTGTTGTGTGCATCCTTAAAGGCCAAGCTCAAGAATAATGAAGACTTTATGTTCTAGCCTTCCAGCTCTTAATCTGTTTTTGTAGTGATTTCAAAGTACTGTCAAGTACAGGAATGGCAGATAGGTTTCATGTTGTTTATACATCTAGTTGCTTAGTAGTGACTACTGGAAACACGATGTTGAACTTCAAGTCAGGGCTCAACGGAAAAGTCTGCAGATCAAGCTAGTGATATATCCTCATGGCCTGGGAAGGGGATAAGGGCTATAAATATGTTACACATTCACAATTCCTTTTTTTGTGTGTTTAGCTTTGAATGGATCACCATGTTCCAAAATCAACTAATTGTAGAGAAAGAAAACACACAAATAATTTAAATCTTGACATTAAATAAAATTATGTTACAAAATGAACTAATCTAATAGTATACTTTTTACCTGAAATGATAGGCAACATGTTAAAGATGGTTAATTAAATTGAACTTTCTTCATGTGGAAGGCATGTTACAAGCTTTTACTGTTGTTTATTTCATTTTGCTTCTGATGGGTAAGCATAATAAAAATGTATGGTCACCCCCCATCATGGTAAAATAGGTGACAGGGATAAAGAGGCACAAAATTCAAATTATGAAATAATTTAGTCACAGAAATGGAAATACAGCATAAGGAATATAGCTTATAATATCATAATATCTTTGTGTGGTGACAGATGGTAACTAACTTATCATGGTAAGCATTTAATAATATATATGATTGAATGACTAAGTTATTTAATCTGAAATCAATATAATACAGTATATAAGCTATATTTCAATAAAAATGATTGTAAAAAATTATGGTCAGGATTTAACAGTTTAATGCTAACTTTATTTCATGTTGATTAAAATTCTAGTTTTGCCTTTATTGGTATACCCTTCAATATCATTTTTCATACCTCACAGCCATTAACACATAGTACTGGGTATACGTGAAAAGTTATGGATCCTGGGTATTCACAAGGCTGACCTCTCTTGCTTCTTTCTTCTCCCTGATAATCTATTTGTAAATGAAATTAGTATTGTGCCATGCTAACAATAAATAATTTGAAGTAGATTCTCAAATAGATTAGATGACTGAGAGTAATATGAAAATAACAATTACATTAATGGGAAAAGCAATAACTAATTCATATTAAATACTATAAATGTGACTTTGTTTTTAAGGAAGGAAGAAAACCACCTTCTCTGGGTGAAGTCCAACCCAGTAAGAAATTAGTAAGTTCTTGTATAATTTCTTTATCAGCATTTTACTCAACTTAATTTCTTCATGTTTCTCTCTGAATTGTTTTCTTTTTTAATGATTGATTAAAAAAATCATTAAAATGTTAATAAAAGCAAGGGAGGTACCCTTAGAAATTAGATTTTTAGTGTATTTTTTAAAAGCTACTGTTTTAATATAAAAGCAGATAGAGAAATACCAGAGTATTCATTTTTTTTAAAAAAAGCACCAAAATTAAAGCATTAATAGGTAATAGGTGGAAGACATGAGTACACTATTTATACAGGAGAAAATAAACTGGAAAACAAGTATATGAAGAAAAAATGCCATTTCTGTTTGTAAAGAAATACAAATTAAAAATGAGGACCTATTTTGCCAGTATAGAGTGTACAATATACATTATAAATGTAATAGTATATGAACATTCTTTATCGATTTACACATATTTTATTAAGTATTGCATAGAATTATATAACAATATAGAAATATTTATGAGTGAAGAAGTCAGACACTTTAATTAAATCTGATCAAACATTGAAATGATATATTATCTAATATGGGACATGAAAAAATGAACACAGCTGGCTCACAAGTATGATGGGTTCTTTTTCGCTTTCCACTGTTATTATTATGTTATGTTATTTGATCAATAGCTATATGGGAGCACAGAAAGTCCTTATTCCTCTTAGTGAAGCAGTGTGGGCTTGCACTGCCTGGGACTCAGGAAACCTTAGGAATCCCACTTGAAGTGGAAGAGTTGAAATGAATACGTGAGGAATATAAATCCACTGGGGGCTTCTTGCTAAGAAAATTTGGAAAGAAAGTTTAGAAAAGGGAGATACCATCTGTGTTCCCAGGATTACAGAGGTAAAATCACGATTCTTTGTTTTTGTCTTTTTAATGAAGTTATCCATCATGTTCTCTGAGAAAATGTCATGAAACTTTCACATCTATGTATTTCAAAACTTAGTCACATAAACTCCAATTTGTGTTTATTAAATATGTCTTGGACCCTCATTAAAAAGAATGTGAGAAATTCTCCTCCATATCTCTCTTTGTGATCTGTTGTCTGGTCTTTTAGGTGTATCATTTGAAGGCTGTGTGTCAGTGTGGTCACGTATGTGACTAAAAGAGATCCGAATTTGTGACCAAACTAAAAATAAGACAGACAAGCTCAAGACCCAGTCATTATATTTACTTGACAGCTTATTTGTTTTCTTTGCAGCTCACTTTCCTCAGCTGTGAAAGGAAGTGAAATCATCAATTTCATAGAGTTATTAAGTAGCTAAAATGAAATAATGCATGTAAAGCACTGAGCGTAATACCTGATCTAGAAAATACCCAATAAGTGGTTGTTTTCTAAATGAGGAATTAGCCTACCCTGAGCTAATCCCATTTTACAGGGGTTCATAGGAATAAAACTGAATATATGCAGAGCTACTCCCTTACATATCTATTCCATGTGAGGTATCTCTCTCTCCACTTTCTGTAGGTTGGACAGGTAGCCCTTTTTCAGATTCTCATCAGGGACTGAAAACTGGCTTATGAGGCAGGCGTCTTCCATACGCTAGTGAAGACCAGATTGTCGGGGTGGACCTTAGGGCACAAGCTCAATCAGGTAGATTATCATTAATCATCTTTGCCTAAATACTCTGAATATTTTCAGTGTTAACTCTACCTTCTACAGACAAACTATTCCTTCCTTTTTTCCCGATTAAAAAACTCAACTGAATAAACTACAATATCTTTCCCATAAAAGTTTAAACAGCATTCTAATGTCCTGTTGCAGTGGTGCAAATTGAAGCTGTCTGACATAGCACTTCAACTAATCCTAAATCTTAAACCGCAACACCCTTGGATTGCCCACACATCAATTATCACAATTATAGTTAGAAATCTTGGTTTGGAAAATATCATTCAAGATTCTCCTTTCTTATTATACCAAATTTTTAGTACAACCTACATGATGGAAATTAAAAATTGAATATTTTAAAACATGCATTTTTATAAAAATGTGAACTTAAAACTTTTTTAAATCTATTTCTCTAGGAAGGGAATAAATCTTCAAAGGAACAGAAAAGACAGAATTACATGTGTTTCCTAAAGATACTACTACAAAAGATAAAATCTTGTTGGAATAAAATTTTGAGGGACGCTAAAGAACATTAAAAAATATGGAGTGGCAATATAAAAACATGAGAACTTTAGTTGTATCCTCCAAGAATCTATGTACTCATGAACTTTTTGGAGTAGAATGTCTCCTAGAAGTTACTGAATGCATCCTGGTAAAAAAAGATCATAGCAATTGAGAAATCCATATGTAGTACTAGAAGATGAATGTAAATAATGGAAACTGAATACTGTAATCAACAGACTCTTTCATATGTATGCAGACATGTATCAATCGGTGTTAATTCTGTGATTTTTGTAAGACAATCTACACCGGGTATTAGTTGCAATAATATGTTTAAATCTGTTTAAAAATTTCAGAAGAAGACATATAAAATCTGTGAAGTATATAAAGGTTACAAGGATTAAAAATTAACATTGCTTTTCTACAACATAATTTTATGGCCCACTATGCATCAGCATATGGCAATGAAAGTGGAAATTGTCATCTTCAGTGCTGGAAATGTTTCAAAGTTAACAGTGAGATATGGATATTGCCCATGAGAACAAGAGTCATACGCCTTAAAGCAGCAGCAGCATGAAGGAGTCTAAGATATCAAGTGGTATAATGAAACATGAATGTATAACACAGTGCCTTCAATAAATGGTAGAGCGAATGTTTTTAAATGAAAATAAAAAATAATTTCACGAAATAGAAAGTTATTTACCTGTTCTGAGGATGCTAAGCCATAGTACTGAGTTACTTTTGTCATTTATGTGTCTAAATGTGTCTAAAATGTGTCTAAATGAGTTTGCAATTTGGGAAGTATATTTTTAAAAGAATAATATATGTTGGTCTTTTAATTAATGGAATATGTATATTTAATTTTGACACCATATCTGTATATAAAAATATTTTCATACAGTACTATAAAAAATTAACTTACTTTGGATAACATTTCTCCTTTGATAATAAGTGATCTATGTATTAGTGTTGTTAGATTCATTTAATGAATCCAAAAGGATTTTTAAGGCAAGATTTTTAATACTGTACCACTATCTGGTTCCCCAGTTTTATTGAATATATGACATTCAATGCCTTATTACTGGTAATGTTACAGAACCAGGAACCCAAAATTGTATAGACAGGAACATTACTTTCTATGTTAATTAGTTTTTAGAAGAAACTTCTATGTATTAGAACCAGTTTAGAAAGATCTGCCAACAGTCTTCACTAACTTACAAAGGGAAATGAAAACACTATTCCATGCAGGCCAGAGTAATAAAATAGCCACCAATTTGCTGTTTGCTAAACTTGCATCCTTCATGCTCTTTCATAGCTTCATCAACACCTGGTTAAGGTGCTGACTGGTTTTATTTGATCTACAGATGATGCTCAGGTGCCATCTTCAATGTGTGGTGGTAACACCTTCTTCTCAGTTCATGTCTGTCTGTCTGCCTTTTCTCTCCGAAACCCATATCTAGTTTCATCCTCACTGGTGTCAATAGCTGTATAGAAATGTACAGACAGTTCTATAAATTCACTGACTGCTACCATGTGGAAGACAGACATGATGTGTTTGCCAATTTCCACCTTTGAGGCTTATCACAAATTTTCTTATGTCTGAAGTAATCTGATTAAAAATGGGAGCATTTTACTTACAAATTCAATGGGAGAGAAAATCTTACAAATTTTTCTGGAAATGGGGTAAACACTATCACAAATAAAAGGAACTTGGTTTGCAGAGCATCCAATCAGGTAAAGTAAAGCAGCCTAGTAGAACCAGAAAGATCAACCAGAAAAGTAAAAAAATGACAGTTATCTGCCCTGTCATCTCATTGCTTAGAATTCCAAGCAAAAAGGACATGGCTTTGTCTTTTTCTGTGAAAAAATCTTAAACATGTAGACCAATACATCATTCTGCTTAAGGAAGAGGTGTTATTTTAATTCAGGGTAAATTAGATATCAGGGTTGGAACTAATGTCTTCACAGCCAAGTGGATTTAAAGAAGAAGCTCCAACTTCTGAACACATACCACTTAATGTGTAAGATGCAGCACAAATGCAGGTAATTAATCCACTCAACATATAGTTATTAAACATATGTTTCTAATGTGGCAGTTCTAGCCTTAGAGGTACAACAAAGTCTTTGTTTCATAGAGCATACATTCTAGAAGAGGAAAGAATCAACAAGTAAAATTATTGCAGAAAAGTTCTATGGAAAAGAAAAAAAACAGATTGGTGAAGAGAGCTGGTATTTTAGGTTTGATAATCAGGGAAGACATCTTTGGAGAGAAGAGATTTGAAAATATCTTATTGGTCTCAAATAATTCAATATATTATACATAACTGGCAACATTTATACATTTAATACATTTCATTGAAGGATTCTAGTGATTTTTCAAGAGCTCAAAACAATACTTCAACTGTAGTACATGACACTGTCATAGAAATTAAGTATGAAATGATCAAATGTTTGATTTTGAAGAAGTGTATTGCCCTTAAGCAGTGATATGCAAGCTTTACTAATCTTTCTATTTTGAAATAATTTCAAACGTGTAGTTGCAAAGATAGTACAGAGTTTCCATATATGTTCTACCAAGTTTCCTCTAATACTAACATCTTACATACCCATTGTACATTTATTCAAAATATGAGCATTCTTTGTTGTGGGGCTGAGGATGTTTAGCAGCCTCCCTGTTCTCTACACACTAGATATTAATGGCACTCTCTCACAGGAAGTGACAAAAAAAATGTCTCCAGGCATGGCCAAAATGTCCCAGCGAACAACCGAAACCATTGTTTTAGAAGTTTTGTTTGTTTTACAGCAATGTTCATGACTCAATTTGGGTTATTTTTTACTAGAAGCCATGTATCAAATTTCCTTCTTTTGCATATGGATATCCAACCATTTCAGTGCCATTTATTGGAAAGACTACACTTGTCAACTGAATTGCCTTTGTGCTTTTATAAAATTCAGTTTTAGTCCACATCATCTCATGGTAAATCCCCTTTCTCAATGTAATTTAGAAGGAATCTCTATTCCTTACATTTGAAGGCACTATTCAGATTGTTTTACATTGGCGAATAAAGAAGTAAGAATGAAAGGCAAATTTATGAGTATTAGGTACTAAATTAAGAAAGTAGAATTAACCATGAAACTTTGCCTCCCCAAGAAAGACAACATAGTTGAGTCGATAACAGATAGTTGTTTATTTCTAATGAGTGGGATATTATGGAACTGGATGGGTTTTGTGAAATGAGGATACTGCTCCTTTTGGTATGCTTGGGGGGATTGAAAAGTTTGTTCCGATTTACATTGTATACAATCAATTATCAGTCTTGTAATTATAAAAATGTATACTTATGAAAATGTAATATTTTTGTATGAACTGAGTGTTGAGTGCTTAATTTTATCTATACATACAGATGATTTAAGGTGGAATGGGTAACAAATATTTTTTTCTTGCCTTTTATTTCTCCCTAATTTAGGAGCAAAGAACCTCTACACAGATTATGTTTAAGCCAGATCCTGTGCCTCTTATATTCCGAGCTCGTTCTGAGTAAGCCAAAATATATTTTGGTGGCCTCTAAAGCATACACAGTCTGGCTGCTCGTGTACCTGACTTAATATTCGAATCTTCTCTTCCTCTCTTGCACCATTCAGGAGGTACTGGGCTCCCACCTCAGAGCCTTTGCACTTTTTACCTTCTGCATCAAAATATTCTTTCCTTCCTTTTCCACCTATGTGTTTCCACCATATTGAATCTGAAAGCATTAGAAATTAGGGGGAACAATCCAATAAACAATGCAATGCAGTAAACAACAAGGATAAGTAATACTGGCTCCCCCCACTTTCAGGTCTGTTCAAGTACCACATCCTCAATGAAGTCATCCCTGAACACACTATTTAAAATTGTAACCCACTTCCACTCTGCCTCTTGTCTCCCTTTAACCACTTCTTCTCCACTTAATTTTTCCCCACAGCACTCATTGCATTCTAATATAAAATTTTTACCAATTTATCTTCTTTTTTTTCAATCTTCCTCCACTAGGATGTGAACTTTTAAGGAGTGGTTTTTTTTTACTTCGTTCACTGTATGTAGAACAACAGTGCTTGGCACATAACAGGAATTAATATTTGATGAATATATAACATGGACATAGATACAAAATTGTATAGTAATGCTAAGTAATTGACATCGTTTACTGAGAGCCCATTAAATATCCAAGACATTACTGGATTATTGGCAGAGATATAATACACATTACTGATGATCCTTAAACTAACCTTGTTAGATAGGGATAATCATACTAAAAGCATATTTCTTAAAATTCAGTTTGTGATCTAACACTATGACTGGGATGAGGAAATATGTCTTAATTCAATATATTGTAGATTTCCCTCTTATAGAATATGGTTTTAATCATTTCTTCCAGAAGCATGTGGTCATATCCAATTTTTTAACACTGAAGAGTTCCTGAGTGCAAATAACTGGTCCCAGTCTAATAAGGTTAAGGAACAACACACTTATTAAAAGCTAGCAGGTAATTCACAAAATCTCTGAGAAAGCCAGAAAATCAAGTTTGGTGGCTGCTCAGCCAGAAACAATGCGTCAATTATAATGACAGGCTGCTCTGGTGGAGGACAGTCAGCTCAAGTGCCACCATGAGAAACAAGTCAAATCTTGCAACAAAGGTGTCATTTCTTGGCTCTGCCACTGTTGCCTTCAAAGCTCAGTGTCTCCACCAAACTCCACCACTCTCACTAGAAACAGGTACGACACAGTGTCTGATTCTTCACATACTGGCTCACCGCTCTTTCAGCAGCTAAGTCTGCTCTGCTACTATCTGGAGGCAGTGGGATTCAATATGGAAAACTTAACAAATGGAGGAGGACTTCCAAAAGATTCTAGCCACAGACATAACAAACACCCATTACAGACAGCAACAAAGTTGGGTTTTAAAATAGATCAAGATCATTTTTACTACTTGGTATAATTTGGGCAGTGTTTAATTTCTAATGTTGTTCAATGTTTTCTACCTAAAATATGGTAGAATACTTAAGGCAATGAAGAAGTCTCCCTGCTCCCCATATAACAACTTTCTGGTAATAGCATCAATGAGAACATATTCTACTAATACAAGAGGGAGAACCTAACAGCTTACCAAAGGGGCAACCACGTGCATAGATAGTGCCTCACCAAGGATAAGAGCTGGTCTAGTTCACATGTTGCTCACTTGTGTTGTCTTTAGTGAGACATATTGAAGAACAAACCTATTGTTTTACATTTTTCAAATTAATAGTAAATTGAGTAGTATCTTTATAAAGCGAATCACCCTTGAGGAATTAGTGATTAAAATAAAGAATTCCTAACATTTTTGTGCAGATCATATGGTTTTCCCTATAAAGACTAAGTTTGGGAAGATTAGTAAAAACTTTAAAATTTTCTGGTTCTTAAAGTATTCTTCTTGACTAAATATCTACCAGAAAATAAGGTAACTTCTTAAACTTTTTGAAGTTTTAAAGATAAGTATAATAGATCAGCAATATATATGTCGCCTTCCAGCTCAACAAGAGCAAAACACCTCTTAAATATTTAGACTAGATTTATTTTTTACTTTATGCTCCATGAAGTAAAAATTCACTTGTATTCCCTGGGCTCTTCAAATCATTCGTGATAAACAATAAAAAAAGGGATGGGGACTATATTAGAACGTTCTCTGAGTGCATTTCAGTAAAAATAATCTCATTAATATTACAAGTTGACAGACACCACTTTCAGCAACCATGGTATTATAAAAACAAACTAGTTAATTATATCACAAGGGCCATCCTCTATGTCAATTAGATTAGAAAACAATTGAAGATGAGGTAGTGTCAGCTCAAGTGCCACCATGAGAAACAAGTCAAATCTTGCAACAAAGGTGTCATTTCTTGGCTCTGCCACTGTTGCCTTCAAAGCTCAGTGTCTCCACCAAACTCCACCACTCTCACTAGAAACAGGTACGACACAGTGTCTGATTCTTCACATACTGGCTCACCGCTCTTTCAGCAGCTAAGTCTGCTCTGCTACTATCTGGAGGCAGTGGGATTCAATATGGAAAACTTAACAAATGGAGGAGGACTTCCAAAAGATTCTAGCCACAGACATAACAAACACCCATTACAGACAGCAACAAAGTTGGGTTTTAAAATAGATCAAGATCATTTTTACTACTTGGTATAATTTGGGCAGTGTTTAATTTCTAATGTTGTTCAATGTTTTCTACCTAAAATATGGTAGAATACTTAAGGCAATGAAGAAGTCTCCCTGCTCCCCATATAACAACTTTCTGGTAATAGCATCAATGAGAACATATTCTACTAATACAAGAGGGAGAACCTAACAGCTTACCAAAGGGGCAACCACGTGCATAGATAGTGCCTCACCAAGGATAAGAGCTGGTCTAGTTCACATGTTGCTCACTTGTGTTGTCTTTAGTGAGACATATTGAAGAACAAACCTATTGTTTTACATTTTTCAAATTAATAGTAAATTGAGTAGTATCTTTATAAAGCGAATCACCCTTGAGGAATTAGTGATTAAAATAAAGAATTCCTAACATTTTTGTGCAGATCATATGGTTTTCCCTATAAAGACTAAGTTTGGGAAGATTAGTAAAAACTTTAAAATTTTCTGGTTCTTAAAGTATTCTTCTTGACTAAATATCTACCAGAAAATAAGGTAACTTCTTAAACTTTTTGAAGTTTTAAAGATAAGTATAATAGATCAGCAATATATATGTCGCCTTCCAGCTCAACAAGAGCAAAACACCTCTTAAATATTTAGACTAGATTTATTTTTTACTTTATGCTCCATGAAGTAAAAATTCACTTGTATTCCCTGGGCTCTTCAAATCATTCGTGATAAACAATAAAAAAAGGGATGGGGACTATATTAGAACGTTCTCTGAGTGCATTTCAGTAAAAATAATCTCATTAATATTACAAGTTGACAGACACCACTTTCAGCAACCATGGTATTATAAAAACAAACTAGTTAATTATATCACAAGGGCCATCCTCTATGTCAATTAGATTAGAAAACAATTGAAGATGAGGTAGTGATTTTAAATAAACTATTATTACAGGCAAGTGATTTTGAAAAATATAACCTATTTTTTAAAAGATTAAAAAAGTAATATAGTATTCATTTAAAAATGGACACTATAGTATATAAAGAAAACATCAAAAATTCAGTAGAAGAAAGCATAGTGTATCAAAGAATATATTTTAAACCTTATATTGTGCAGTCCTTTCCATAATTAGAATGTTATTTTATACACATGTACTATTTTAGCCTATATTTTTGTCTCAGTATTAAAACAAACTTATTATGCCATTAAAATTATTGGAAAGTTCTCAACTTATTGAATTAGAAATTTTTTTATCAGTATAGTAATAGTATTAAACATGTTCTACATAAATATTTTTCTATATTTCAGATTAGTCCCTTAAGTAGTTAGTGCATCTTAGAAGTTAAATTCCTAGGTTATTAGGTATGCATATTTTAAGGGCTTTTAATGTAAATTTATTTAACTTTTAAAAAAATATTACTATTTTTATTTCTACCACCAGTGGATAAGGCGGGTAATCTAAATACCCAAAGGCGGTTTTCAGTTTTATTATGAATTAAGTTTGTTGACCTGATGAATGAAAATCAGCATTTCATTGTTGAGTATAATCACAACTCAGCACTACTGGCAACTTCCCATCTCCAGCTTTACTGTTGCGATTCAAAATAGGCATAAAAAACTCAGGTGTTTGAACACAGAAAGCTGGCACTGACAGTGTCATGTGAATAGTCATGTGGGAGAAGACTGAAGAGCTGGAATTATTGGTAACTTTTACCCAGCAATACTTTTCCTCCCTCAGGACAGTCCTAGTAGTTCACAGCTCAGGAGAGTTTTACAGCTCTTGACAGGCCCCACTGCACACATATCCTTTCTACTGACACTTAAAAGGCAGTGTAGCTTTCGCTCATACTCTATATATTCTATCAGGTTTCCCCTAAGCACTAGGACAGGGAAGAAAAAAAAAAGGGAAAATAGGAAATGGTCAGCTGTATAACTCGTGGTGGTAAGCAAGAAGTTCCATATTCAAAGCTTCCGTATTTTGTTGGTACCTTTACAATGAAGTTCCATTACAATGAATGCTTTTTTCTTTTAAGTTGTAGTTGTCATTACATATCTATTTTCTCCAAGTAATTATATCAACCTCAGTGCTGGGACCTAATCAAATCTTATTTCTCTCAATTCCTAGCATTTCATAGAGTGAACATGAGCATTTTTCAAACGTTTATAAGTATAAAGCTTTGAGCATCTTACATTAGTTG